TGTAATACAGGGACTTTTATACTTGACATCCTGTTCTTCCTGAAGTCCTGAAGTCCTGGGCTCATGTTTAAGTCACTGTAGATAAGCTCTTAGTTTTCTGTTTTACTTTTGCATGACTGCCTTGCTATAGTGAATGTGCATTAACTTTTCCCACCTCTCTCCTTTCCGTTGCAGAGATAACTGACTTAGGTGAGTTACTGCCACTTGTTCTTGTCCTGTGAATGCCATCTCTTCTCTTTGCCCTGTTCAAGTTTGTGTGGTGCATGACTTTAAATTACAGGCAGTGTCAACCAAGGGCTGAAATGTGGCATTCCTAGAACATTTCAGGCTCAGGTATGCTTTGGGATCCTTTCCACTAATTGTGCACATCTGGCACAATTAAACCACAAACTCCAATTCTGTTTGTTAAGTCCAGCAGCTGAGCTTAGAGCTGCTGGTCACTTCCCCACTGGACACAAGCACTGCTTTTCAAGTCCCCCTGTGCCAGTCCTTTCCCCAGCACCCAACAGCAGGATGAGGCACTGTGGAATTTCCCTTGCTTTACACCCCGCAGCAGTGCTTTCCCCAGTAGTCCTGGTTTTCCATACAGGCAATTTAGCTGGCAGCCAGTGCAAAATGAGCCTCAGCATTTTACAGAGCCCTTCTCAGGTCACCAAATGCTGCAAGCATAGCCTGGGATCCTCCTGTTGCAGCAGGAAAAGAGTAAATACTGAGCAGCTCCAATGTGGCTGTGATTCCTGCTGCTCTTTGAGCAGCCAAAGCTGAAAGGTGCAAACTCTGGGGTAAGAAATCTGATGGTGAGCAGTTAGTCTGAAGGACTTTTAAAGAGAGGAGATAATTGAGCCTGTCTCACACTGACTGCAGTGTTTTCAGGCTCACACTTTGTGAGCTTGTGCCCGCTGGAGGTATCAGTGCTTGGGGTTTCACATCCCCTGCCGCTCTCGCCGCTGGCACGGGGGAAAATACGTGGTGGTGTAAAGACCAAGAAAAGGACAGAGTTGTCATCAGTCTCTAATCGAGTGGGAGGCGGGTGAGCCCTGTGGCAGCAGATTCCCTGACTCCCTGCGTTTCCCTCAGCTGGGCAGTTGTCCACTGACGACCTGAACTCCCTCATCGCGCACGCACACCGGCGCATCGACCAGCTGAACAGGGAGCTGGCGGAGCAGCGCGTCAGGGAGCAGCAGCACATCGAGACGGCCCTGGAGAAGCAGAAACTGGATGATAAAAAGGCATTCGAGGCAGCTGTGGCCAAAGCGCTGGAGCATCACAAGAGCGAGATCGAGCTCGAACAGGAGAAGAAGGTAGAGTGGCCTGACACACCTGGTTGAGTCTCTGGCTCAAAAAGGAGGTAGAAAAAAGGGAGAGGGAACAGAATCACAGAATGGTTTGGGTTGGAAGGGACCTCAAGAATTATCTTGTTCCAGCCACCTGCCATGGGCAGGGACACCCTCCACTAGACCAGGTTGCTCAAAGTGCCACCCAGACCTGGTCTTTAACACTCCCAGGGATGGGGCAGCCACAGCTTCTCTGGGCAGCCTGTGCCAGGGCCTCACCACCCTCACAGGAAGAACTTCAGTGTTGCATCTGACCCAGTATGGCCATTATGGGGCTGTCAGTCCCTCCATCCTGCCTTCAGGAAGTATCTCCATGTTCTTCCACTCTTTATTTTCTTTCCAAAGGACTATGGAATCTCAGAATTTTAATACTCCTTTGAATGTGAGGCAATTGCAACTTACAAATGTAGGAATTAGGGCATTGAAGGTTTTCTCTTTTGACATCCCATGTTGCAGGCTGACACTTGGGCCAAATACTCCTGTTTTTAAAAACAGGGTTAAACACTGGCCCTTCCTTGAAAAATTTAGATTCACATGAGGGAAACTGAGGATTTCACCTGTAGCCTATCAGTGCAAACACTGCAGTACTTTACTGATTAGAGAAAAGAGCTCCCCTGATTTAGAGCTCTTTTAAAAAGTTGCATCATCTCTATTTAACAGAAAGTTGGAAATTAAACAATCATTTAAAAAGAGCCGAAAACCAACAGGAAAAACTATTCAACTGTTCTAAATAAACCTATACCACCCCTCTTCTGCAGTCTCAAGTGGCTGTTTTATACAAAAGAGGTAAAATCAGGTAAAAGGGGTATTACCATTTTATTAAACTGTCTAACTCAGTGTAACAGCATGTGGGGAAAAGGTACTGTGTTTTGTTTGGAAATTGGTTTATAAACAGCCAAGTGTTTCCTTTGACAAGTTACTGTATTTTTTACATACTGTTGTGATAGCTGCCCTAAGGGCCTCCTGTGAAGCTGTTCCTTAACAGCTTTAGGGAAAAGCTCAGCCATAAAACTGGACGACCTCAGCAGCTTTTTAGGATGAAACACGGGCTTTGTCACTGCCCCTGCTGTACCATGTCCCCTCAGCAATGCCTGGTGTGGGACAAGCAGGGCTGTGACAACGTCTGGTGTGTGTGCAGATCGAGGAGGTGCGGGAGGTGATGGAGAGCGAGATGCGGACGCAGCTCCGGCGCCAGGCTGCTGCCCACACCGACCACCTCCGGGACGTGCTGAAGATCCAGGAGCAGGACCTGAAGGTGGAGTTTGAGCAGGTAAGGGAGAAGAGGCCCCAGAGGAATTAAAGGGATAAGTGCAGTTAACTGTAAATTCACCTCAATAAGGTTTCCTACTGGTATATTGTATTACCTGTACGCATTCTCCCTAGCAAGAGCAACGGATTTAAACAATCACGTCTTAAAAGTAATGTATATGTAATTAGCCATCTGTTTCTGGTCTGATACATGTATCTCCCTCTGTTTCAGAACCTAACAGAGAAGCTCAGTGAGCAGGAGATGCAGTTCAGACGCCTTACTCAGGAACAGCTCGACAACTTCACCTTGGACATAAACACTGCCTACGCCAGGCTGAAGGGAATTGAGCAAGCAGTCGAGAGTGAGCACTGAAATCCCATTTCTTTTAAGGACTTGATCCCCAAAGGCCTGTTACCCAAACCTGGGTGTTTAAATCCAGGCATGTAGCTCACAGGCCTGGGTTTGCCACACTGCTGGGCACCCAGAAAAACCAGATGAGCGAGTCCAAAGGGGTTCTCCCAAAACCTGTTGCTTTGTGCTGGCTCTGAATTGTGGGGCAGACTCACTTTGGAGCAGGTGCTGAGGGGGTGGCTGCTTTGGAAAGCAGAGCGTGGAGAGGGATGGCTTTTGCTGCTGGTGCTCAGAACCAGATAAGCCCCAACTGAGAGTCCCTTCTCGGCTCACCTTGCAGGTCACGCGGTAGCAGAGGAGGAGGCCAGGAAGGCCCACCAGCTGTGGCTCTCCGTGGAAGCGCTCAAATACTGCATGAGAACAGCCACGGGGGACAGTCCCACGGAGCCCCTGGGCAGCGCAGTGAAGGCCATCCAAGCCAGCTGCTCCGACAACGCCTTCACGGAAGCCTTAACAGCCGCGCTGCCCCCGGAGTCCCTGACGCGCGGCGTGTACAGCGAGGAGGCCCTCAGAGCGCGGTTCCACACGGTCCAAAAACTGGCAAAGCGAGTGGCCATGATCGACGAGACGAGGAACAGCCTCTACCAGTACTTCCTGTCCTACCTGCAGTCGCTGCTGCTGTTCCACCCCCAGCAGCAGAAGCCGCCGGCCGAGCTCAGCCCCGACGACCTCGACACGTTTAAGTTACTGTCTTACGCCTCCTACTGCATCGAGCACGGAGACCTGGAGCTGGCGGCCAAGTTTGTCAACCAGCTGAGAGGGGAGTCCAGGAGGGTGGCACACGACTGGCTGAACGAGGCGCGCATGACCCTGGAAACCAAACAGATTGTGGATATCTTGACAGCTTATGCCAGTGCTGTGGGGTTGGGAACAACTCAAGTGCAGAGTCAAGAGGCAGGATTGTAGCTTCGGAGGCAGCTCAGCGATTCTGTGCAGGAAAGAAACCCCCCCATGACCTCCTGAGGGTTCAGGCCGAGCTGTTGGCAGGGGCTGGAAGTGTTAAATCAAAGCACGGGTACCGTCTTTGTTTCCTTGCACTGTATTTAACTTCACCATCTGTTGTATTTTTATTGGGTTTGAGTTGTCATGACAACCAACTTCAGGAAGCTTCCCTACGATTTGTGTAAGAATTAATGTTTCCCCATCTTACCAAGTGGGCTTGTGATCCAACCAAAATAATGTTTGTAACCTGCCATTAATCATTTGCCACTTTGTCAGCTGAATAAAACAAGACTTCAACCAGTTGGTTCTGCTGTTTGGTCTTCTGTTTAAAATATAAACTACAGCTGGAGCAGTACAAGCTCAGCCTTTTTCCATGACCTGAAGAGTTAAAACTTTGGTTTACTCCTTTCAAGGAACAAGAATTCAGTGATGTGATTCGTCAATTTGTACAGTTTTAACAAAAAAAAAAAAAATTAAAAAATCATCCATGTTTGAGTACAGGATCCATAGACAGAAGCTGGAGTCAGAGCACACGCTGAGGAGAATTTCCACCCTGGAATGTTTCATGTCAGACCTGCTCTGCTGTAATTTTAGGACACCGGGAAGCCAGACTTGGTTCAACCATGAGCTCAGATAAAAAACAAGCTCCTTGCTTCCTTCTCTTTTCCCCTAATTCTTGCCATCAGTGAAGAGAGATTGATCAGCTTACTCAGAACTTTCTGAAATGAGGAACTGGGGCTTTGTCTACTTGTTCCAGTTTTAAACTGTTGTTGCACAAAGCATTATCACCACCCTTGAAAGCCCCTTCTCTTGACCCTACACCTGCAGCATCATCCCTATCAAGGTTTTATATTTCACAAAGAGAATCAAATATTAATTACTTTTCCCCAGAATATGGTGTAATTCTCTCAGGAGCAATTCTTTGCTTATTCACAGTAATTACCTGAAAAACCCCTTCAAGCTGAGCAGCCCAGTGCTGTGAGGGCCAGTTAATGGCACAGCACTGCCCCCTTTCTTCCCACTCACCTCCTTGGATTTAGGTCTCAAGGCATTATCAGAACATGGCCAGCTTTAATGTCAGCCATTTATTAGACAGAGCCTCCAGCTGTACAAAGTGTAGTTTAACATCTACAGTCCCCAGACATCGAAATGAAGAGGGATAACACCACAGGTGATGAGTATTGCATTGCTTGCAGCGTTCACATACAGAGTAAACTCTGTATTTAAGGAGTTCATTTAAGTTAGATGGAAATGCATTGAATCTGGTGCAGGGTCAAGTCACAAGAGGCCCAGGGAAAGTCTTGCACCTGCTGAGCAGCCCCTGGGACACACAGCACCCCTGTTCCTGCAGCCCCTGGTACCTCAGTGGTGCTGCTCACACAGGCAAGAGCCAGCCCACACAGGTGTGCTGTGGAGACTCTGGGTGCAGCCCACGCTGTGTCCCAGGTGACCATGAAGATTTTAACAGGACAGTTCCTCGCTTGCTCCTACAAGAACAACGTGTCTTTCCAAGCAGGTCCCGTATCAGAACACTCCCAGTGCTCAGCAGTGCTGCAGCACCTTCCAGAAGCCATTCCTTCAGGAATTCCACTCCTCACAGAAGCCTCCTGGTGTCCCAGCAGTGGTTGCTCCCAGTTTTCCTGAGGAAGGCAGGAGGGACAGCTACTCACGGTCACTGTCACTGCTGTCACCGTCCCACTTGATGCTCTCCAACGTCTTCCTGTGATGTAAAACATTCAGTAACCAGTTGTAAACAGCTGTGACTTTCGCTTGGAAAGAGAAATCCAAAACACAGGGCAAACACTCTCCAAAGAGAGCAATGATGGGCTGTCTGATGCCTGTTGCTCTCAAAGGACAGGTCCACCCAGCGTTTGGTGGAATCACATCCACATCCTTTTGGAAGAGCAAACCACTCCAGTTACCCCCAAAGTTCTGGGCCAGCTGCTGGGCTCCTCTTTATTCCCTTGGACCAGAACAGGCTCCAAACTGTGGTCCCTCAAGGCTCAGCCCATCATCTGAGCTGGGCAGCAGCAGCTCAGCAGTGAGCAGAGGTGCCTGGCCAGAGCTGACCACAACCCTCAGGACCCGGGGCCAGTGCAGGGCCCTCCTGTACCACCCCCTGCCTTCCCTAGGCTGCAGCAGTCTGAGCTGAACACACTCAGCTAAGAAAAGATTCCGGGAAAGAAAGGTAAGAGCAGCTCTGAGTGGCCAACTCCCCATCGTGGAAAGTTCCCTTCCCTCCTAGGTGGGTGGATACAGCATGGAATCAAAAACTGAGGGGCCATTTCAGTCCCCTCAACACACCAGCACATCATCCTGAAGGCAGTTCTCTGCTCCTCTGTCAGAGAAGCCTTTCCACAGGAATTACCCCCCCAACACCCTGTCTCTACTGTACCCCTTCAGCAGTAACACACAGTGCTCCAACTTACTTCTGTCCTTCTGAGAGTTCAAATTCCTCCTCTGTTCTGCTTTTAAGCCTTTGTGACGAAGGCAGGCCGAGGGAAGCCGCCAGCTTCACCAGCTTAATGGCCTCATCCGGGCAATTGGTTCGTTTGGCACAGCTCAGGAACTCGTCCATCACGTTGTCCCTGCAAAAGAAAGGCACAGGAGACTATTTATGGGGTCACAGGTGAAGAGGCCATTAATTTACAGCCCCTGCTTTAGACAGGGAGAGGAGGTGACATTTTCAGATCACTCAACCAGCCCAGTTCTGCTCCTGCCTGGAATTTCACCTCAGCCTTCACCCTGTACCATTGTGGTGAGTTTGGGAACTCCTATCCTGGCAGAACAGGGCAGGCAGTGAGTGACACCAGGTGTGTGTGGCCCCCTTGGTACCACACACCCTCATGGTGTTCAATTGGACAAGCTCCAATTTTGTGTTTTTATGTAAAAAACCCCACCCATACAAAACACGTTACTATTCCTTGGAAATTGTGTTCTATGTCAAACAGATTTCTCCCCTCTCAAAATCTTGAGACAAGGAAGCTGTTGTAGCCTAACAGGAAACCACCTAAGATTTAGGATTTGACTTGATAAACTTATCTTCAGGAGTCCAGGCACCTCTGAAGCACCTGTGCTTGGTTAAGAGCACAGTGGATTTTTTTGAGCACGTGGAAAACCAGATATTCTCAAGAGTCCTGCTCAGACTGATCTGTACTGCTGAGTTTCTCAGCTCTTCACGGCCCAGAGCTTCATTCTCTGACATCTCAACAGCCAACCACTTAACCCCTTCTCACTTTACTTTTCAACATGTTTTGAGGCAGAAAGGTCTTGGAATATATCCACTGGATGAACAGCCATGCTCACAGGGACAGACACACACTCATGTTTTGGAAGCAAATGGACCACTATTGTCAGATATTACTGGGGGTTGGACTGCCTGGCCTTTAAAGGTCCCTTCCAACCCAAACTGTTCCATGATTCTCTAACAGAAATTCAGGATCTCACTCAGCCAAACAGGACACTCAGTACCTGAAGAACCTAAAGCTACTTACGTGGGAATCCTATTGGTTTGCTGGAAATGCTCCATCATGTTCCTATTCAAAAGAAAATGAAATAATAATTTAAAAAAAAAAAACAAACACAAAACACAGGGGCAGGCAGGTATTAAACCTCTTGGATGAGCCTCCATTTAGACACAAGTGAGCTCAAATTCATGAAATATTCCCCACTGATCTGAAAGGAGCCCATGCCATATTCTCGCAGATGCAATCTGTACCAGATAACTTCCTTGATTATTTTAACACAGAATATCTAAAACTAGAGCAGAATATATAGAAAATGTAGCTGGTGGCAAGTTTCCTTTAAAATATGCCATATTTTTAGAAGGGTACTTGCCACTTCTTTGTTTTAAATGAATCAGTGCAAAGGGAGCATCTCTATTTAACAAAAATAGCTCAAACCTTAAACTGGATGCTGGATATTTTTACCTCTATTCCAAGTTCAGACATGTGGGACAGCAAATTCTAGCTCCTGGAGAGCTCTAAAAAACAGTCTCTTTAGAGTTTAATTAGGGTTAACTCTAATTAAACGAATTAATCTCTTTATTAGTTTGAAATCCAAAGAGTTCTAAAAAAAAAATCAGAGAATGGGAAGCTGTGGGCAATCAGCAGCACTCAGGGAAGTCAGCTGTATGAAGCTCTACACCAGCTACGACATGAACTTCTAAACCATTTCTGAGACAGACAACTGTAACCTGGTGCCAAGAATGAACAATACTATCAAGAAAAACAACCCATCACATTCCCAGCAGGATTCTATCCCCTCCCTTTGCCTGCACTGGCATTCCAGGAGCAACCCCAGCCCACACCTACCAAGCCTCCTGGGTCCTGCCAGCCCTGGAGAAGAGCACCACGACACTGCCCAGAGCGCTGCCCGTCCATTCCAGGGGGAGCTGTTCCCTCCCAACAGGCTCGTGGGCAGCCTTGATGTCTTCAGCACACTTGGCAAACGCCAGCTGAATCTGGGGAAATATTGTGCTGTTAATCCCCAAACCTCTAGGATTAATGTATTCATTTCAGTGCCATTTCTCCTACAGGATTCCTTGGTACGTGATTGAAATTTGGGAATTAGCAGCAGTTAGAACAATCTCTCACTTCTGTCAGGGCAACTGTCCCCACTAGGCAAGATCGAAGGTGGCTTTGCAGGGACAGCTGGTATTTAAAAGGTTTTGCAGGACACATCTGCCTGCCTTTAACACTGCAGCTTGAGAAGCCAGTTACTGCAGTGAAATCCTTGGCAAAAGTCCCTGAATTCTGCCTTGTGCTTCCCCAGAGATGTGTCTGGCTGGGCTGGATTACTTTCCAAGCCTTGTTAAGGAAGTGATCCTCCTCTGTGTTGATTTGAGGTTTCTCTACAGGTAGAGTTAAATTTCTTCACAGTAGCTTCTATGGGGCTGTGTTTTGGATTTGGGGTGAAAAGTTTGTTGGTAACACGGGGTTATTACACCTGAGCTTTGCAGGAGCCCGGATTTTCTGGGGATGGCTGAACACCTGCCTGCAGCAGGAAGTGGTGAATGAACTTGAGTTTTTGTACTTTTACAGTCCCAATTCCCTCCACCATCCGTCCCACTGGAGAAGAGTGAGCTGTGTGGTGCTCAGCTGTTCACAGGGGTTAAACCACATCCGCTTCCTTACCTCATCTGGGTGCTGGTCCCTGCTCATCAGAGACAAGAACTCTTCCAAAAGCTCTTGTTTCCTGGTAAACCCCAACTGTTTCACATCTGTTTAGAGAAAGGCAGCAGTTGGTAGGATTAAGATTTGACCTGATTTGCAGAGGGTCCAGATACCACAGGCCAAGAGGTGCTATATAATTTTGTCCTTTACTACCTGTAAAATTGCACTACGCTGATTTTGCTCATAGAAATCCTGTGCTATTCTGATTACAGATTCTATGCTATGTTAATCATTAAATCCTGCTCAGAAAATAAAGCTTTAATTGTACCTACAAATGAGTGCTGTCATCATTCTGCCAATGATCCCTAAAAGAACCATCTGTCCCCTCAGTGTTGGTGATGGTTGGACATTTTCTGTGTGCTAAACCTTTATCTGCATTATTGTCTCCCCTTTTTAAGGGGCAAAGAACAGGAAAATAATTTAGACCAGATAAACCTGGGCTGCTGGCTGAAATGCTGCTCTCTGTAAGCACTCAGTTTTCCAGGACACTGACACTGCACCACGACACAGCCATGATCTCTAGAACAGTCTGTGCTGTTGGTTTTGCCTTTAATACAACAGCCTCACCACTGCACTGAGGAACAACCTCCCTCATTCCAGTGCACCTGATCATGGCTGCTCCGAGCAACGGGAAGTTCCCAAACCCACTCCCACTTTGTCAGACTGTCCACGTGGCCATCACTGACCTTCCCAGACCGAAGGGATCACTTCCAGCTGGTTGGCTGCATCCAGTGCTTGAAGGAGGTCCAATATATTTTTGGGAGTTGGATAGAAGAGCTGATGAAGGAAGAGAACCATTTCAGTCACCTGTAACTGCTCCACTTCTCCAGACTACAGCTCTGAAGCTCATTTACCCCAGCACACACTTACTGAAGGTGACATTTCCTTGTACCACTTCAACACCACCTCAATTTGTTCCATCATGCACAACAAGGAAAAGAATTTTGACCTAGAGGAGAGACAGAAAGTCCTAATTCAGCACTCATTAGAGAAACACCAGCTGATGGTGGTGTGCTGATCAGACCTGTATTGCAGACCAGGGAAGTTTCACTGTGTCATTTCAATACCCCATACAATCAGAAAAGCAGCAGCGTTTTTTTATGAGAGAACTTAATGCTGACACTATATAACTGGTAGAATTAATCAGAAATTAGACCACTGCATTTCAAGTTCTCAAAAAAAAAAGCCATCTCCCTGCCTGGTGCCAGGTTTGAGCTATGTGAATCTGTTTCAAATGCAACCTCTGGTTAAGAAGCACTTTAAGAACTGAACTAAATTAACCTTCCTGCTTGTCAAGTTCACAACACAAGCCTGGGTCCTCGATCCTCTGCACTGAGTAGGAAAATGTCCCCACGCTAAGAAATGACGCTCTTTTGGTGTTACCTCCTGGGCTGCCACCCTACCTGCACAAAAGGACTGCAGAAAATACAACTGGCTGGTCTAGTTGTTGGATTGGGAACTGAGATAAACTGATGTTCCAAGACAAGTTTGAAAGCTGGAAACAAATCCTAAGCAATCACTGTTCCTAAGAGGGACCCAATTCCCAAGCTGCGCATGCAATAACCACCTGGTGTCCAAATCCTAGTTTGTATTCAAGCTGACAATACAAGCTGCTGAACAGAAGCTGCACGTCACTCACCAGTAGCCATTTAACCGGTCCACATCCAAGAATTTCCAGTTGTCTCCCTTCCCCATTGTCTCATTTAACTGATAGGCAAGCTTGATATCCTTAAGATCACAGCACTGCAACAAACCAGTGGGATTGCAAAGATAAAAATATACCACTCCATCCATCCCTCTGAGACCCTTTTTCACAAAGGTGCACATTCATCACAGGCATGCACGCTACCAGTTTGGAAGGGATCAGGCCAAGAACAGCAGGATTATGAAGGAAAAGTTACAAGAAACGATGAAAACAGATGACAATGGGAAATACTGAGAGCTCAACCCTGTATGCTAGGGTGGAAAACTCACAGGCGACTCTTAAACAGCTGGAGAGCTCAAAGGAATTCTGATGGCAGGGAAGAGGCACTTACCACTTGCATGGCAGTGGAAAAAAAGTTGGCTGAAAAGGAAAAAAACAGTCTATCACCTTCAAGCTTCCAAGGAGACATGACAGCAGCTCATTAACCCAACCCCCTCCTAGAGGACAGACTTGTTCAATTAGAAAGCTCAGTTTGTAGCTCAGTTTGGCACTGTAGCAGGGATTTTCACTTTCAAGGCAGAAATTTTGGTGTGGCAGGAGTGGGGTGGTTTTTATATCCCCCTGGCAACAGCTTAGAGCAGAGACAGAACAGTGTAACATACATAGCAGGAGATAAGCACACACAAAGGTGTACAACATTCTGCCCATTTTCCATGATTCTTTCCAAAGAGCCAAAAAAAAAAAAGATGGTAGTATTATCTAATACCCCTTCTACAGACCCAGGCTTCAGTTTTCCATGAAGTTTTATATTCCTTTTCTGAAAAGGATTAGGAAGAACTAGAATAGGAAAACTCACACCACAAGACAACAAAAACCTGCCATTCACCAGATGTGTATCACTTCATGAAGCTGCTACCTGATGCTCCTCCTTAAACTAATTTTGTTTTTTTTTTTTTTTTTTTTAATTCTATGGAGCTCAAATGCTCATTCACACGGGTTACACTCCCACTCCCACACAGAAGCCAGTCCACCAATGCCCAGCACGATTTCTGGCACTGGAATTTGTCCTTCTCTGTCTCCCAAGGGTGTCAGAAGGGACTGAGAGGCAAGGTGCATGCATTTTGCCCAGCTGAGGAAAACCACCTGAAATCCATGGGTATCTTCTCACCCAAGCTGACCCAACACAGATTGTCAAATGTTATAGAAGTCCTTACCATCATCAGGGTCCTGAGGAGTGAAACCTCTCTTTTCAACCTCATCCAGCACCTCAGAGATGATGCCTGACGGGGGAAGATCAACTGTGGGACAAAGAGACAAAGCAACACGTCTCAGTTGTGCCAAGCACTTCCTTAGTGAAGAGCATCAGCCTGCAAATGTAACGTGGAAATGGAAACAAGCAACACGATTTCAAACAAGTGTCATGATTCCCGTGGTGCTCCCCACCAAGCTGCAGCTTTATTTGCTCTGAGATTTCCCCTATTATTACCAGATTTCCAGAGCTGAATAGAGCAGATTCAAAAAGAGAAAAGTGCTTTCTAGCAAGGAACCAAACAGGTCTGGAAGTCTGTCTGTCAGAAGGCTGCACTGGGAAAAGCAAAGCATTTAATGATCAAACAAAAAAAATTAAAAGGGGAAAAAACAGAAAAAAAAAAAACCAAATCCACAACCAAACCCAGGGAGACTTCACAGCAGTTCCTTCACATTTCTTAAAATGCAAGGGCTGCAGTTACACTCCTGTGCCTATTTTCTTCCCATAGCCAAAATTCTGTGGGCATGGGATCTGGAACAGTTGGGCTCCTGCTTTCTAACCCAGTGATTTTTCACTACAGCCCCAGCGCACAGAACTGCTGCAGAAAGAGAATCCCTGTGCAATTTCAGCCCTGTGAGTGCCACAGTCCCTGAAGTCACAAACACTGTGGTCAGATCCAGCCTGCACCGAGACTGGGGAGCATTTGCTCCCTGTACGAGGTCATCATCCTCTGTAGCCTTATCTTCCACCCAAGTAGAATCAGGCTGCACACATAAGAGCTTGTCTTTTAACCCGTAAATCGATCACCCAGGACATCTGGAGAACATTTAAAGCAGATGCTGAGCAGGACACATCCCTGGGCAGGCTGATCCCGCACGTACCGCCTCTGTAAAATATGGAGAGGAGATGATCGTACGTGGCAAGGCTGGGCTCTGGAAAGCAAGAACACTGAAGTTACTTCATCCTTCCTGGCTGAGCTTTGTGCCACAGATCTAATTCAGCCTCTTCCCTCCTAGTCAGGCCTGCATAAATTTACTCAAGTACGTCTCCCCATCCACCCTGAAGCTGGAGCAGACCTCACCCACACCCAGCTGGGGGAGATGGTGCCTCAGTGGATCACCAGTTAGGACATCCCATTTTTAGGGGCGGGAGCAGCCAGGCTTCCCTGCTCTAAATTAAAAGCAAAAATACTTTTTTAGCTAGTTTCCCTTCTGCTCATGAATGTACCTTTAACCTATCAACAAGCATGTTACTGGGGCCAAGCACACTCCAAAGGACATCAAATCATTGTGCAGATACTTCCTTGGTTTTGCAACATTTATTTAAAATAAAAAACCCCACATTATCTAGATCAAAAGCTTTTTTTCTGTAGAGATGTAGATATATATAGAACTGAACTGGCTTGGGTGGCTTGTGCAGTACATCTTCCCTCCAACCAGGAATCCCTGTGTTGTGTGCTCCTTAACTATTCTATCCTGCAGTTGGCACTGGAATATAACAACCCATGAATATGATAAAAAGTCTGGTTCTCTTACCTATATCAAGTGCTTCCATTTCCTTCAGCACCATCAAACACATACTTCTGCCCACACCACCACATCTTCTCAGAGTCTTCAGTAAAGCATTAAAAGTCAGCAGATTCGGTTGCACTTCCTGTTGGGCCATGTGAGTCAGGAATTCCTTAAAAACAAAATACCCAAATCCTTAGTGCTTCACATGTTACAGATCACAGTTCAGCTTTCAGGCAGGTTATACCTCCATTTCCTCAACCTGGTCCTTCTCACCCCCTTCAGGTGAACAACTCTGCTTTAACTGATCATTTATTGAGGGAGTACTGTCTGATTTTTAGTTACTTTGACCAAAACCCAAGGCTACAACATTACACTGGATCAGATCTTGGAGAACTGTGTCTAGAACATCAAGGAAATTTTTATAGTTACATAATACTTCTCCTTATTGATCTTATGTCATTAAAACTGGAGCCCCTAGTGTTATCCCTCAAAATTCCAGTTCCGTCACAGAACCATGAATTACAATTCAAAGAGGTTTTATCTGAATTGTTTCTTTATCTCCAGCACAATTTCCCCAGTTACTTTCTGTCCAAGCAGTTCTTGGATCAGTTCTCACAAGGCAAACCACTCTGCAAGGGCAAGGCTGGATTTTGTACATTTGCCATTCCTCAATATCTGGCTTTTATATTTATACTAGAGAACTTCCTCTGCAGCAGAAATTGGTGTTTTAGGACAAAGCTCTTGCTTTTCTAACAACTGCAAAATTTTAATGGTAAAGCAGACCCAAACTCTCGCCCCTTCCCCACCTCTTCTGCTCTGCCCTCCTTACCTTGGCCAATTCCCATCTTTCCACGAACCTCTCCTTTAGATATGGGACTGCCCTGATCAGCGCGTTGAAGGTGTGCACGTCAGCTGGAAAAAAAAACGCAAGATCATCCATTTTTAACTGAGAATTGATAAAGTCTGCAAGGAAAACAGCTTGTTCTGCCATGGCTCAGCTTTTGGCAGAGTCTCATGCAGACCCGTTTGCGGCGAGCCAGCCACGCGCCAGCTGCACCCAAACCACCAGCCTGCACTCAGCTCCCATGATCCAGCTGAGGTCCGTACCCCTGCGCCAATCATCACCGCCATGGAACGTGGAACAAACACTCACCGACCCGACACGGCCTTCTGGCACTTAGAAAATCACAAAGAAGAACCAGGAGACACTCACCCTTGTGCCTTTCATTCAGCAAGTCCACGTACATGTCATAAGCTTTAGAAGCAGCCCCATGCTGAAAAAAAAAACAATAAAAGTAAATAACCTTTATGACTGAGATTTCACAAGCTGAAAAAAAAAAATCCCCCAGCACTGTAAATTCACCTTCACCATCCCACGGATCATTGTGCAATAGGAGTGTGCATTCCTCTCTGGCATTATCTTAAATATCCTCTCAGCATGGTTGTTCTCCCTGGAATCAAGATCAGAATCCATCATCAGATTTCCATCAACACTTTGACACAGTTGTATTTAACAAGTAACACCTGTGAATAAATAACAAGTTAACAAGTAACACCTGATGCATGTGCACAACCCACAGAATACCGGAATATTGGCAACATTTTCTATACCTCCATCTAGGGCCAGATGACTGTGAACCTCTTTGGAATTGTCTCTTCGGAGCCTTCTGCTCTGAAGCGTCCACCTGGAGAGATTTTTTATAGAAATAAGTTTCTCAGAATTCATAATTGTGATTAAACATCAAATGACCAGATTTGGCAACAACACAGAAGTTCACTGGCAATTTATATTAGCACAGGTGGTTTTTAATAGGTTACATAAAAATAACCTCTATTATATTTTCTATTAGAACGTTCAGGAAGCAGTAACTAGATTAAGAACATTTATGTTATTAAAAATACTAACAAGACAAATTAAATGTATTTGTGGAGTTGGTGGGAATCATTAGACTGTAGCAAACACTCTGTAGAACCCTTTTTTCCCAGGGACAGCACAGCTACTACTGTGCCCTGCAACCTGATACTCTGATGTCACACAAGGAGCCCTCAACTTCATTCAAATCCAGTCAGCATGGTTCAGACTGCAAGAAAATTAACCAGGTGATCTACACTAGAGTTACTAGGGGTCTTCTTTGCAGACAACTGTAAAAAAAGGCTGTCAGGGAGAAACAGTTATTTAAGCACAGCCCAGCAGAACTAAGGCAAGACAGGGTTTCATTTACTGAGTTCAGCTTTACACCACCTATTGTTGTTACTAGGTCAGACACTGGATTTTTGTAACACTTATCTCCTGGGAATGCTGACGGCATCTGACCCACCTCATGCCATCTACCAGGATGGCTGTCAAAGTACAAAAAACTTGACACCATCTTGATACGCTCCCACTACATATGAAACAAATTATTAGAAATCAACAAGTTTTTCATACCCCTGCCTCTTCCAAGTCCTCTTTTGCTTCTTCCTCCTTTTCAGAAGTAGATTCTTCATCTCCATAGAAGGATAACAAATCTAAAAGCCTGTTTGTGGTCTCCAGAGATACAGGGGTACCTTAGGAAAACAAGGATTTATGACAGTCACAGAGAAAGTAAAGAGCACATTCTGCAGCCACATCAGAAAAAATGTGGGCACCCAGTTACACCACTTTGCTCTCTTTCAACATAAGGACATTCTCTAGCAAGTCTGTAAATCCTGGGTGTGATAACAGTACTGCCCATGAACCCACTCATCACAGGAGACAATTTTAACACTGACTTAAGAGTATTTGTTTTTTTTTTGCTGAAGCCACTGAGAGGGTAGAGTTTTCCTGATGAGGTGGGAGAGGGAAGTGGCAGCTGGCAGTCAGAACTGTGAAGCAGCACAAGCTCAAATCAACATCTGAAATTTCTAATGCTTTCCATAACTATTTCTGGATACACCCTGCTGGGATACACAGGGCTGTGGAATACACCCTGCTGTGCACTTCACTTTCTATGAAACAAATTTAAAACCAACAGAGGAAAAGGATGTTCAAGAGATCATTTGTTCTCCTATCACCAAAGTGACACACAAGAGAAGCGGTGGCTAAGATTGGATTATTCTCCAATGACTCTGGAGAACCACTTCACCAGACCAGAGTCAGTTGTGAAAGGCAGAAACACAGTCACAAAACTGTCTCCACAGCCTGTGCCACCTACTAAAATATTTTTGGCACTAGTTAAGCAGAGCTCTACTGCAGAATCTGGCAGGTGACCCCATACCTGCTTGTACAAGCTGATCAAACATGTCCACAGACTCTTTCACCCTTCTGAGGTGGATACGCTCCTTCAGAGCTTCCTCACTCATTCCTTCAATCTGAGGTGTAAGAACCTCAGGCATCAAACACTGAAAGCAAAGAGTGAAAGTCAAGTCATGAGCTCAAACCTTGCCTGAACTATCACTAAAACACTAACCAAATATCCTTAGTCTTCACCCTGCATGCAGCCTAACAACAGCAGTCCTTTTGGTGATGAAGGACCACACATAACCTCATTCCTCACTTTTGTGCCACCTAAACAACACTGCTCTTCTTACTTTTATCTCAAGAACCTGCAATAATATTCAACTCCCAAGGAAAAATGTTCACTTCATAATGGAAACACAGTGCTGCTTTCAAAGCAGTCTGCAAAGCAGTTAAAAAAATCATCCTTTTATGTCAGTTTTGGACCAGTCTGACAGCTGATTTCACTGACAAAGCACCAATACAATGAAAATGAAAAGCTTACTGGTACGTTGGGGTCTGCTAAAGTCTTGTCAAAATACTGAGGGAAGTTCTTAATGATGTATTTTGCAGCATTTTTCCCGGACTCCTTTGACAACGAATACAGACGCTGCAGAGAAAGAAGAGAACGAGATGAATAAACACAAATTACAAGGCCAAGAGTGAGGAGAAACATTTTCTGTAACTCTGAACATTCTGATGGGATCAAATTAAATTAAACTCATGCTTTGTTTTCAACTTCTTAAAATCACGGGCACGAGACAGCACTCCAGGTAAACCTTCTGGTATTCATGCCAGTATGTGTGTTCTTTAAATGTCACTGTACTTCTCTGTGGCTTAGTCAAGAAACACAGTTCTATATCACACATCTCAAATCCTGCACTACTACCTCAAGCTCAAAAGCATCTCTTACATAAGAGAGAAAATTCTGAAACAAAAACTGACACTTCATTTTCTTTTGTAATCAAACCCAGGCTCCATTTAGATAAGAGTCTTCATAGCTTAGACAAAGGTGAGGGGGGAAGTTATCAAGGATCTGAAAGGAAATACTTACAGAATTGGCTGCATTTCTTGGCATGAGGAAAGGGTCATCCTGGAACATATAATGAGCAGCAGTAGGGTCCTGTAGGAAGAAGAACCCAGGATTGAATTGTTATGTTCACAGGCCTCATGGAATTTAAGGCACAACAAATACTTCCACCATAACCACCTTACAGAAGTTCCCCTCATTCAGAAAGGCCTCATCTGTCTGGAAACAGTTTTATACAAAACTACAACATGGCAAGCATCAAGTGCCCTGCAAACCAAGTAGAACCCCAACTATAACAGCCTTGGGAAGCTGAGGAGGCCTGCAGGTTTTGATTCGATTCCCAGAAGTCAAGATAGACAGGATTAAAGAATCACAGCATTTCCAGCTGTTGCCCAGCAAGAGCAGACACTCCTTGCACTTTGCAAGGCTTGCTTTCTGGATTGAGACTGGGAAGAGGCATTCTGGATTGGGAAGCTGAAGCACTAAAGGAACTTGCTCCTGATGTTAGCAAAAGTCTTATCAAAGTACTGCAGCTTTCACTGGTAACTGCAGCTCTCAGCATGAGAATGAGGCTTTAAGGACACAGCAAAACGTGTGGAGCAAAAGTGAAAATCCCACAAAAACCAGATGTAGAAGTCCCATCTATCATTTATGGCCAGAGTAGAAATTAAGAGCATCCTCAGCACAAGGCTATTGCATGAGGTGGAGAGCCTGAACCACTTCCATGACCAACAGAACTACTCACCCTGTTGACGGTGGAAGCCAAGGTCTGGAGCACTGCCAGCTTATCCCTAAACACAGAGGAGCTTTGGTTAATACTCAGCTGCAGACTTGGAATGCTATGGGCTACACTGAATGGAGAACGAGCACAGCATTATCCTGACCCATAAGGATTTTAATTTCTAGGAAATAATGTTTTTGCTGCATTTAGAAAATGACAATTTTCACAACGGGAGGGAAAATTCAACTGCAAAAAAGGTCTCAGTTCTGGAACAACCCCAGGAAAAAGATTTTGAGGAAAGCCAGAAGAACATCTGTGTTTTCTGCTGTGACTCCTGCCCCTGTAATACATTATTAAAGAACATGGGGAAGAGATGCACAAAGAACTCCCCAGAATGCTCCTCTCAGAGCCCTCTCCAAGA